TCCTTAGTGAAATGTTTGTCGATTAGGCTGAGGAATTTGTGTCCGATATTGGTGCTGACGTTCTTGCTGAATGGAGGGTTGTACCAGAGGATGTTGCTTCGCTGCCTGTTTTTGCGTTTTGCAGTCGTGGTGGGTTCGTAGTGAAGGGTGTATTGGTATCCGCCTTCGTCAAGTGCTTTTTGGTACGGGGGGGCGGTTTTGTCGAATGAAGCTTTGTCTGATGAAAGGGATGAAAGTCGTTTGTTGATGCTGGCAGGTATGTTCTTTGTGGTGATCGGTGGGTGATTGCTCTCGCGGTGTACGTACTGTAGTGTGGTGTTAGGCTTTGTGCAGGGCTGGTAGGTGCTGTTGTTTAGGTTGAGAGTGACGTCTATATATATATTTTTATTTGCTGAGAGGCCTATTTATGACATGGTTGCCGCTGGGAAAAATCTATGCAATTCAGTCAGGGAATACTAGAAAATCATCGTTGAAGCAGACTTTAAATCAGTATCACAACAAAACTGATCCTTCTATTGACGTAGATAAGTTTATATTACCACCCCACTCTCCCTTCAAATGAAGGGAGAAAGTCTCTCAATGCCACTGATAAATAAAGGCCTGATGCGATACGCTACTTGCGAATAGTTGTTTGAAACAATAGGGAGTGAGATATCGAAACGATCGGGAGGTTTTTTATCAACTTCACTTACAGCAATATCCGTTCCGATAGACTTGTCCTCTTCTACAAAAACGCTTAGGATCTGAGATGTTAAGTGACTTCTTAACGGGTATGAAAACAGTTCCATTGACAGTCAAACGTAAGCTTCCATTATTAACTGCACTTCTAAGCTGACTACTGATGTTCTTTGCGATCTGTATCCCTTCTTCGCCCACCCTAATTTGACCTTCACTGGTGTCATTTGCATGAATGCCATCAAGATATACTGCAAAACAAGCATGGAAATATAAATGAAAAACTATCATTAAATATATATCAAGGTTTAACCACAAAGCGGTTCTTTATGCTTGTTCCGACAAAAATTAAATTTCAGAGAATATCAAATGAGAAAATAGGGATAAATAAAAAAATAATGATGGGGATGCTGATAAATGATAATGATGATCAAAATGACAATGGTAATAATGATAATGATGATAACGCTGATAATAATAAAATGGATAATGATAAAATTAGTAATACCATTATAACAATAATAAAAATAATAATGATAATGGTAATAATGATAATAATACTAATAATGATAATAATAATAATAATAATAATAAAAATAGCGGCGAATAGTGAAGACGTGTGAGGCTGTAGCTCTACAAAAACTGCGACGCACACGATTCTAAACGAAAGTAGGCCAAGCTCAGGCACCAAAATTTAACTGAAAAGTACCTTGAGTACTTGTTATGTTCTTCTTTGGAACAAGGAGGTGACCATAAGCGGATTTACGAACTTTTCATTTGTTAAGTGAGTTTGTTTTGACTGATGATATGGCGGAAGAAGCGGCGTCTCAGCAAGCGGAGCAGAACAACAGGCAAACTATAGGACGAACCAGGAGATTGAAGTCGACTAGTGACATGATTAGTGAGCTGCTAGAATGCAAAAAGAGAGCCCAGGAATTGGCGTCTTCGGAGGGACCAGCCCAGAATACGAACGGTAGGAAGAAAGGATACATGAAAATAATGAGGGAACTGTAGGATGATTCAGGGTACGCGGGATTAAACCTGACGTGTCAGAATTTAAGGGATCAAGCTGCTAGGATGGAGAAGACGACGGGGAACGTTAAGGATACGATTATAAGGAACGCGATGAATAGGAACGAAAAACAGAGAGAGAGCGAAGAGTTAATTATGCAACAGATCAGATATGAGTTCAATACATGTCAAAGTGACACAGTGAATATGCATTTTACTGCAAGCGCACAAGTTCCCAGCGGGACACAACACTTCTATTACAAGCACACAAGTCCAAAGGGACACAACATATCGTCTATTAGCACCAGCGCGTGTGAATTACTTCAATTAACAGAACCTATTCTCGCATTAATGGCAAAGTCCCCTGGGGACTTTAATGGCCGGCATTACGACGCAAGAACTAAATGAAGGCCCACTGCAGTGGAAATAAAAGATGTCAAAACAGTTATGAGCGCACTTTTGAAGCGTAATACAAGCACGGATCCCGCACAAGACCCATTTGGCTACCTGTGGATAGTGAACTGCATATTATACTCAATTATAATAGCATTTTTCCTCAGTAACAGCTGGAAAAAAGCGATGGAAGTGGGGAACGCACTGGGAAACCGAAGCAGAGTTCAAATGCAAAAGAAGAGATTGAAGCGCAAGCGCGAGAAATTAGGGAAAAATTGTCAAAAGCGAAAGCGGAAATAGAGAGGTTAAAGTCCAACAAAAAATGACGAAAAAAGGAATCGGTTAGAACTTTTGAGAGAATACAAAACATTGTCATTGGCAAGTCTAGTATCTTATATGGAGAAGCAGAAGTCGCGGTTAAGAAAACTAAAAAGAGGGTATTGGAGAAGGAAGAAGCAAAATATGCGAGAGGAATGAATACTCAGTTTGAGCCCGACCCTGGAAGGGTCTACTCAGACTTCAGAAAAGTAATAGATGATCAAGGCGAGGTGGCCAAGCCGAAATATGTGCACGGGCAGGATAATAATGAGAGTCAGAGGAATGTGTTTAGCGATGTAGAGGAAGCCACGACTTTTTGGAGGTCGTTATGGGGACGCAATTTTCGGGCAGCGTCACAGCCGAATGGTTGAACGACGTGAGAGACGCAATTGGACAGAAAGTACCTGTGCCACCCGGGAAAGACTTCGAGTTGAGTGTTAAGCAAACAGAGAAGGTGATAATGAAGAAGCGGTACTGGAGCGCCCCGGCCCCTGACCGATTAGTTAACTTTTGGTGGAAGAGAGTGTATTGTCGTCATGGCGGGATTGCCAGAGCTTTGCAAGTTATAGCGCAAAGCGACCAGGATGTTCCACTAAGCTGTACAACTCAGGGAAAACCAAGACAACCGATGACCCCGATATGAGATGCCGGATCTGTGGAAAGGCCCAGGAGTCAGTTTCCCATGTGTAGTCAGGGTGTAGTGCTCTGGCACAGACAAAGTATTTGGCGAGACACAACGCAGCACTCAAATTACTCTTTCTTGAGTTTCTGAAAAACTACAAACTAATCGAAGTGATGCCCCCGTGGTACTCCCCAACACAGCCAAAACCCTTTCATGAGAACGAGCAAGCGACGGTGTACAGGGATGTCCCAGTTTATGCGGATCACACAGAAGTGCACGCGAACCCAATAGACGCGAGGACTGTGGAAAAGGAAAATCAGATCGTCACCCTCTTAGAGATGAGTTCCCCCTGGGTTGAGAATAGAGAACAGAAAGAGAAGGAGAAAACTCTCAAATACATGAACTTATTTCCGACGAAAAAAGCGATAGGTGCGTATTACGTTTTAACTTAAAAATCAAGATGAAAGATAAAAATGGCTAAATATTTTCCCATGTGTGCAAATGGGCATGTGGATCATATTTCAAAATGGAATATGCGAATTTGTCCATGAGTGAAGAGATCTTAAGTTCCACGGAATCTATCAATAGGAAGGAGGACTAAAATGGCCAAGAAATATTTCGGGACGACAGATTTTTTCAAAACAGTTTTTGATTTGCTGTTATAAGCGAAAAACGTACGAATTTCTTACGTGTACAAAGCCCACGCGGTAAATTCATCATGCTTAGATCGTTGTTTACTTGCCTTCAAGGCCAGAAATTGCGCAGCGTTATGTTGAAAATTCTGAAAAAACTTCAATTTGACGCAAGATCTGCTATTAAACAATAATTTTTGAACACATTGTTACTTGAAAATAATATTTACCGGGTCATCGAATCGTGAAATTCTCGCTAGGCCCTGCTTAAGGTCCGAAAGTTCGGTTTTCATTTTACGGCCATAATTCGCATCGCCTTAAAGAATCATAGTGTCGTTGACTCGAGAGCTTATTCTGTCACCTATAAGACTTTGATATCCATTATTTTCCAAGCAGAGTATTCTATAGCATTGTTAATTTACATTCTGAGTTCCACAAGGTCTAACTCGATCGCAAATGAACGAAAAATCCGGCCTGGAAATCTTGAGGATCGGCAGAGAGGACGCCATATTTTCAATTTTGATCTTGTGGTACTTTTGTGATAGCATACACGACAGAGGCACGTAAGTACGTACCTACGTACGCTCGGTGAGTCACGTGACAACCAAACGAAAAGAGGTTGACCATATTCCATGTGTATGGGGCTCTGCCCCATGCGCGCGAAGCGCGCGTGGGAGCCCCGCTAATAACAATAAGGAGTTTAAGCAAATCACTACGGCTGGCGCTGCTACGGATACCGGAAGTAAAATTGTCCAGAAACGAGTCATTGCGCATGTTAGTGGTTCCCATCCAACCGTAGCGGGAACTCCTTCTTCGCGAATGGGAAGGTCTCGGCGTAGTCTGTGGTACGTGAACTTATCTCGCTTCTTTGAAAAAAAAAACTCCAGAAACTGTCATAGTTCTAAACTAAAGTCGTCATGGATCTAAACTAAAGTCTAGTCTTTCCGAGCGTTTAAATATCCCGCTCGTATGCTAATCGGAAACTTCGACAAATCCCTCGTGTGTTCTTAAGCTGTTGCGCCATTGTTCAAAAATAGCCATATTGGGTCATTTTTCGCTTGTCTAACAAAGCCTATTGTTATCAAATTTGAGCTACTTTTCTTGATACGCTTCGCTTTATACATTCTCCTGAGCAATTTTAACTATTCAAATACACTTAAAATCTTTAAAAATAGCTAATCGGGAGTATTTATCAAGCTTGCTGTCTCTTACCGAGTGAATCTTCCTTTATTTTTGCAGCCGGGTTTGTCGAAGGATCAAAGCAGTGTGCACATGGAGAACGCAGCGAACGCAAGGAGAAATGCGTAGGTAGAAAGTCTAACTTTTTCTTTTCAAACCTCAAAGACTACTTGAAATTCAAATAGCTGAAGCCAATGAATGACGAAGGTTATGAGGGACCATGTAGAAACTTTGCTTTGGTGTTTATAACCTCCAAACTGGCAATAATACAACACGTATGCTTAAATATTTTAATTCACTCATTCACTGTGCACAGGATCGATTACAATTTTTTTTTCCAAACGTTGGGATCCCTCTTCCCTTTGAACGAAGTCATTTTGAGTTTTTAGACGTGCAAAAACTACCGCGAAGACGCTTAATTTATTGGTTTTAAACTTCTCAGCCGTACTAGGTTTGTAGTTCGCGTTGCTTAAAGTTGAATTTTGGCTGGCTACGGTGACGTACTCTCCCCAAGCCTCGTCAACCACGAAAGCCGTAGCAGCGCCAGCCGTAGTGATTTGCTTAAACTCTCTAATTATAACAGTACTAAGGCGAATTGTAAAGAAAAGTTCTTGAAGAATAACATAATCTGCATAGCCATTCGTTACAAATGTTTGTGCTGACAGAAGGCAAGTAAGTAATTTTTTGCGAGACTTATACACATGTAATAATTCTTTTGTGTTTCGACGTGAAGACGAACCTAGTCAGTCCTCAACAATGGCAATTGAAAGTGGACACCATATTTGCATTCGGTGTATGGCTTATAAAGCAAAGGCTTGAAAACTGAAATGACTAATCAGACATGTGTGCTAGAGACAGTTACATTATAAATGTGTATGAAACCTACCCACAATATCGACACTGATTGTTGTTCGCGGAACTGACCGTCGTTTTCTGCTATGATGATCATCGCAACCTAAAACGGTAAAGGGCAAAGATGCCAGGTTAAACATGCAAATAAAATAAGCACTCCGATAAAGCTTTGACTTAACATGTGGACCATTTGTGCATGAGAAAATAACTTTTGATCAAGGTTTGATTAACAGAAGTTAACAAATGGTAAACACCACAGCGTACACTATTGAGTTATGGATGCACGCGGGAGGTTGCTAAGCACGAAAGAAGCGTAAGAGTCGCTCGAGGCGATAGCCGAGAGCGACTCTAGCTTCTTGAGTGCTTAGCAAACCTCCCAAGTGCATCCATAACTCAATAGTGTACGCTGTGGTGTTTACCATTTGTTTTATAACATAACATTGATACATTGTAGCTAAAGAGTTCCCTTTTATTTAACAAATCTTACGCGACCAGAAAAAACAAGCGCGCGCGGAAAAATAGCCTTTGCATTTGCTCACGTCAGCAGCGTACACCCATGGGCAAATGGGGGACGCTAAATTGACCAATCAGAGCGCGCGCTTTACTTTGGTTATGTTATAATATTATTTTTACCTGCTTCACGTTTCTTCCTATAGTTGATAAAATCAACTGCTGCACAAGTGACTTTAACATTTTCAGCCTTACACCTGTCTTTAAGCGCAGGGTCTCGGCAGACGTCTTTGAAAACAGACGCGTTTAATATCTGAATGAAGTTCTGCTTTATCTGAGCTTGGACTTCTGGTGCACCACAATCACCACTGTAATAATGCAAATGCATTTCCATACGAGCAGTTCCTGGACGATACTTTACTGAAAGAGATCAAATTATAAAATACATCTTACACGAAAAAGAATTTTGTTAACGTAATAGAGGAAATAATAGATATGGTTTTGCCTATGATGAAGAGAAAAGAGGGTAAAAAAAGGAAGATATGCCGATTTATGAGTTAAATGCAAAGATTATTGATTGTTTGTTGGTTTGTTTGTTTTGTTTTGTTTGTTTGATTTTTCTACGTAGTACAATAGCGAAAATAGAGAAGCTCACCAACCTGAACAATCTGGCCAGCGATTTCTAGGGAACCATGCTCCAGACGCTCCACACGCCCAGATACTAGACTGAAGATTTTGGGAAAAGTCCCATCGGTTATTACAGAAAGGCGTACACATTCTTCCAAACATCCAATCATCGCACGCTTTTGCTCCGTTCTTTGGAGGCTTCAGATCATTTCAGCGTTTAGCTATTAAAAAAGCAAACATACAGTCCCTAACACCTCCCAAGTGTCACCTGTAATTAATCGACCGGTTTTGCCACCAGTAATATCAAAATTACTGCTTAAACTAAAAAGCATCACTGAATCATGCGAGTGCCATATCAGCCCGATTTTCCTCGAGAATTTATTTTACGCCAACTGCCTCAAAAAGGGTAAAAATAGCTTGATATCATATCTCATCAAAATAACAACTTACCATGGCTAAATCAAACCTCACTGAAATTTGCCGAGACGAAGGCTAATTGCATCGTAAAGATAGAAAACAAAAGACAAAAAGCAGGGCATTAAGCCACACCCAAAGGATACATTCTCTTGATAAATCCTTAAAACCGGTAGCACCTAATAAAGTTCTGCTTACGTTCTAATTTAAGTGTGAACTGACAGATAGCCGGGCTGTTGCTTGGGTTGTTGTCATGTGCTGTGCAATGCACATTCCAAGTTCCCCAGTAAAACTCAGTCCCGCTTAGATGACTGCATTTGATAGTCAAAGGATCATTGCTGTTGTCTGTAAACTTTGGTTCCTTCCACGTCACCACTGTTTTCATTGCTGTGGCGGTAATGCTTTGATTTGATGGACAGAAGACGACAACGGGACTTAATACATCTGTCATGAGAAAATATAATAAAAAGATGGATCACATAAATTTTTTACATTTAAAGACGAGCCTAAGCAAGGATCAGCATGAGTGGAAGTTATCGTCACCTACAAATACAAATAATAAACACGGGGTGAATTGCTTACGAAATGCAGATACACTTGTGCGAACTAATTTAAACACGTAAAGTTGGAGAGATATATAATTGTGAAGGTGTAGTCTGATCGTCCAGGTGAGTGTAGTCCTGAGAAGGACTGTTGTCGGTGGTAGTGACTGACGTTTCGAAAACCTGTGCGGAAGTCATCATCAGAATCAAGTGAATGATTGTTGTCAGTAGAATGTTCTTATTCCAGTTCGGGTAAAATGATCGGTTGGTTTTGCCGTGATGTCATTCGCTGTAAGACTCAAGTGACGTAAGTCGGTCGTGATTGGTCTGTTTCGATCTGTCGGTAAAGTTAGGTCGTTATTTTTCGGTCGTTTGTGATGTTTATGTCGTGAATGAGTCGTTTGTATGGAGCGGGTAGTTGTTGACATCTGTTTAGGGGAGTCTGTTCTAAGTTAGTAAACCAGCTTTCAGTAGTCAGTCGTTGAAAATAGTCAGTGCTGTGGGTTAGGCATTGCGCAGAGTCCCAGGAATGTTGTGCTCAGTAAGTCGATGGTGTTCAGCAATGTGATTGCTGACATCACCTTTTCTCGTCGCCCGTCTGTGTTCAGTCAGTCTTGTTGTGAGGTTTCTGCCAGTCTCACCGATGTAGGAGGCTTGGCAGTCGGAACAATTGATCTTATAAATCGTTCCCTGTCTGTTCCTCGGTTCGTCTTTGTCTTTAACGTTGGTTAGTAACTGACGTAGTGTGGTGATGGGTTTGTGGGCGACGCGGATATTGAAGGGTAGTAAGATGCGCGAGATGTTTTCAGACATGCCTTTTATGTACGGTATGGTTGCTGTAGTCGTAGGGGTTGCGGTGTCGTTTGTTTCGGTAGTGGTAGTGGGTCGGTGAGTGTTTCGTCGGATGAAGTCGTTGTTGTAGTTGTTCTTCGTAAAAACACGGTGAAGGTATTTGTTCTCGTCGGATAAGCTGTCTGTCGAGTCACATACTAGTTGTGCGCGTCGTGTTAGAGTTCTGATAGTTGTGGCTTTGTGTGATGTAGGGTTGTAGGATGACTCGTCTAGTAATCTGTCGGTGTGTGTCGGTTTCCTGTAAACTGTCGTTCGTAATGAGTTGTCGTTGTGGCTTACCAGGCAGTCTAGAAAAGGAAGTTTGCCATTTTCTTCGACTTCTCTGGTAAACTGTATGTCAGTGTTTTGTTCGTTAAGGTGGTTGTGGAATGCGTCAATTTCGTCGTGTCGAACGGCGGTGAATGTGTCGTCAACGTAACGTAACCAAAGCGGTATCGTTTGTCGGCAAGTCGAAAGGGCGCGTTCCTCGATGTTCTGCATCACAATTTCTGCTATAACAACAGAAACTGGAGACCCCATGGCAGTGCCGTGTAACTGTTTGTAGTGTTTACCGTTGTACTGAAAGTACAATTGAAGTGGAATAGTTGTGAACAGTAATTTTACATCAAATGACACTAGTTTGTAGTCGTCAGGTATCTGAACAGTCTTGGTAGCGTTAATGAAGTCTTCAGTGCATTGTAGTTTATGTCTGGATTTGTCGGTTAGCGGTTGTAGCATTGTCGTCAGGTACTTGGATAGCTGGTATGTGGGAGAGCCACAGAAAGAAACAACAGGTCTCATCGGGAAACCAAGTTTGC